AACATAATTGCATATAAGTAATAATGTCAATAAATTGTTTACTTTAATATATTATTGTATATTATTATATTAAATGGCATTGTATTCTTGGAATAATCGAGAAAACGACGCCATATAACAAAGATAACCAATTAAATTTTATTTCAAATATTGTGTTGGATAATTTTATAAGTATCTTAAAACTTATAAAAATCATTGAACACAGCTTACTAATTACATTTCACAATTGTTGACGAAGCTTTAGTTTGGCCAAATGAATCTCATGTAAGATGCGATGAGGATATGTATTTTCCGAAGGGCCGAGATGAGATGAATTTGCAAAGTAGAAACTCATCTGTATTTCGCCCCGCATGCACATTCAAAAACAATACATTATATTAAACTTACGATTCGTGCTGGGAAATGCATTGTGCGACGACAAGAGAGCAACGAGCAGCACAATCTCCCAGGGATCTAACGGTAGGCGCGATGACAGCCCGAACTGTCTCATTGTCAGCGAGATGGCTTGATATATAGGAGCCGAGCACGAGTTTTGCGCACAAAACTATACCACTATTCACGATGAAGCTTCGGTATTAAAAAGAAAACCGAAGGTACAATTGTCCAATGTTACTATTTCTGAGATTCTTTAAACTTATTTTAGCGATATATACACGATATATAATCTAGAAAATTTACAAACAAAATAATATTAAATTTTGTAAACTTTGTAATTTTTGTTACCCATAGGAAACAATATTAAATTTATATATTACGTTATAATAGTACTGAATTTTCACAACGTTATTTTTTCATCTCGACCTTTACTGAGATACGATTTAAGTTAAGTAAAAGATATCCTTTTAATAACAATATATTTGATAAATTATTTATCAATGTATTTAGACGCTAATTGCTGATACGTTAAACCATTTATAACCACAGAGAAAAATAGTAAGTTTATAGTAATAGTTTGAGCTGCATCAGTTGTTACTAATAGAATAGTTGAAATCTATTTCATTTTTTGAATGTTACATTAATATAACTTTATATTTGCAA